TTTATAAACCTGTAATAACACAAAGGATTTTTTATTTAGGATAAGTGAAACATTGTAAAATGCAATCACTTTGGATCTGTAGACATCCCAACAAAAAACAGATTTTCCTGGATTTTGTTTTTAAAGTRTTAGTCAGGTCCTTATAACACAATCTCATATCTAGAGTTTTTAGCATTATAAAAACTTTTGCTGTTTGACTTTTTTGTACTATTTAACTTGGTTTTGAATGCTGCGATTGTGTCTCTGCTGTAGGAAGTATGGCATATTGGGTCTGTTTAAAGGCCTGGAGGCTAAACTACTGCAGACGGTGCTGACTGCTGCCCTCATGTTCATTCTCTATGAGAAGATTGCCAGCTTCACCTTTAAAGTCATGGGACTGAGCAACAGCCACTACAAGAAACGCTAACAAACAAGAATCGCACAACAATGGACACTCGATCACACAAAAGTACTGTGATCTCTGCTGATAATTTTCTTTTAACAGACTTCATAACAGAAGTTCAAATTTACTGCAATTTGATTTCAAGTGAACTACTACTGATGTTTTATTGTTTTAATTCATTTTTTCTARTTTAAAATAAACAATACATGTTTGAAATCAGATGCCTGTCTAAATGAGTAATGTTTTTAAKTTCCTTTTCTGATCCCTGGAATTTTCCCAGCACAGTTTGCTTTTCTTTGGCATCAGGACACAAAGATTAGAAATATACAAGTYGTCATTTTTCAGCCTCACAGGGTTGTTCCAAACAGACTCAAGACAAATAAAGAAAATTTATCTAATTGCAGGACATCGCTGTGTAAAGAAGTGGTTGTTCATCATTCATTTTTCTTAACTTTGACTAAACTAAAAGTTAAAATGCAAAATAATAATTAAAAAATCTAGTTTTTTTTTTCAAGTTTAATGTCTTTAACAAGCCTAGGAGATCTATAGAAAATGAAGATGCAACATTTTTTTTAAAATCTGGTTTTCATTTCTATTTTCTGCTCTGCCCTCTGTTCACCTGCAGAGCATTAGGGGGAAAAAGTAATGTAAACTGAGTTTCATGAATAGATGTCCTGATGCATCTCAGTAATCCAGATAAAAAATCAAAAAGAAAAAAATTGTATAGGTCTTCTGGACGGGTTCTTCTCTAATGAAACGTTTCGTCTCTCCTCCAAGAGACTTCTTCAGT